TACTTTTCTTTCTTTCTTTCTTTTTTTCTTTCTTTCAGATAACAAAACTTAACTTGCCAAAACAGGAGTCACTCTAAACACTGCTTCCTCTCCTCTTTTATTTTATCCCGTTTTTCTACTTTTCTTCATTTTTTTTTCTAATTTTTTCGAATCTTTTCCATTTTATCTCCTTTTTTCATGCTTTTCTTTTACCTTCCTTATGGCAATGTCCAAAAGTAAGGCTGAGCTAGTTAGCCCACTTATTATTATTATTAGCCAACAACAATTCTCTCCTTCTCCTTCCTATACATTTTATTTTTCCTATTTTACAAGTGCTCTGCTCTGCTTCTGCCTGCCTCTGCTATCGTGCATCAGCTCTCACTCCTCCCCTTCCTCTTCCCACGTGTTACACTCGCTCGTGTTGGCACGCATGTGCATGCACGCGTTCTCTTATTCACATGCATGCATACTCTTCTTCTCATGAGCTTGCGCGCATATGTATGCGTTCATGCGTGTTTGTGCACTCACGCGCGCCCACTCTCTCAATGGAAGGAGGATTCAGCTTGTTGTGCTGCCGAACCGCCTACCGCCCACCTGGAATCCTGAAACGCCCACAAGTGGGCGGTAGGGACCAGGTTGACGACCCATGGTCTACACATATCTGCCATCAAATTAACATGTTTATTGTTAATGTTTATGTTTAGTTTTTTTGGGTAAGTCTTTCTTTTTCATCGTTAAATAAAAAAAATATAATACTGAAACATACCAGTCAGATTGCAGCAAAACAGTGGTGATATGGTCAAATACAACAAATTGGAACACTTTTTTTATTTTTTTTGTGTTCAATTGCACATAGCCAAATAGTCCATACTTTGATTAAATCTCAGTAAAATGAGCAGCGATGACATAGGCAATGATATTAAAGGGACACTACAGTATATATAAGCAAGGCATCAAAACGGCTTTATTAAGCTATGCATGTTTTGCTGACTAACTGCCTAGCCTTAGTGTCAATTTAAAGTTTTAAACACATGGTTTAATGCATATAATAAAGAAGTGTACATTTAAAACAAGTTAAATGTTGAGTAACTTATCCTTTCTAGCTGAGTAAAGGTAACATAACTTATAAGGGTCCTGTCCTTGGTTTGCACTTCAGCAATAAAAATGAAAAATTACAGAACCAAATTATGTTGCATAACAAAACAAAAGAATAAAAATAAGAATTAGCGTAGAGATAGACAATACTATTACAGTCATCATACGGGTATTGGTCTCGGGGAGCACAGGGTAGGGCACACTACACTACTCAGACACAGCACCAGTTCCTGGAGCAACCCAGATCATTCAGCGAATGCCAAGCCATGTTAACCTACTATCCAGCTTCCAGGTTACAAGAAAGTGAGTTAAGACAGATAATAAATACATTTTTTATGAAAACTGTGACAAAAGCACCTTCGTCACTGGGATTTGGAGAGGACTGCTTGCCAGCCTCTTGCCCTGTGACTATGGCCCCTGGGATGTATTGCCCTTTAAAAGCACTATTTGGGCATATTGGGTTTTAAAACAGCGTTTCTGCCCCTTTAAATTATATTGGAACAGTTTTACACCTTTGAAGTGGCACTTCAGATACAGACGAAGTAGTCGAAGCCATTCGAATACGTGGCGGCGGCCATTTTATTCACTCAAACAAGTTCATCTGTGTTTTGTTGTCGAGTTCATAGAACTCAAATCGGACACGCGACGGCACGAACACCGCTGAGACAGTCTCTGGACTTCGACTGGAGTCGAACGCTGTTCGACAATTCGAACAGCACTTTAACAATGACTATTTGCATGAACGGTTCCCGTTCATCTATTTGAACTGAACTTAGCATTGGAAATAGACCAGTCGCACAGCCAAATTCTCTGGAACGGTTTTGGGCATGAAATCATGCTTGCGGTCGGTCAAAAGAGACTTCCATAAAACTTTTGAACCCCTGCTCTGATCTGTGTGATTTTTGGATATGTTGCTAACCCAGATCAGGGCTATCCAGTGAGACAACCACTAGAGGCAGTTTCTCTGAAACTGTTATGTTTACAGCTGCAGGGTTAAAACTAGAGGGACCTGGTACCCAGACCACTTCATTGAGCTGAAGTGGTCTGGGTTCCTATAGTGGTCCTTTCATTATTAATAATAATGCTGTCTGTGTGTAGAGGAAATATATCATTCACTAGCACTATTCAGTTGTCCCTAAACTCACTTTCTCATCTACCTTGAGCTGTGCTCTGCATGCTTCTGGCGCTCTGCTCCCAGCAGGGAGGGTTGATGATCATCAATGATGATGCAGATGATGATGACAACATGAGGTTGTACGAGATAATTATTGTATGTTACAAAGAGCGCTGTGGTGGTTGACAGGTTGTAGCTTTGGTTGATATAAGTCTCACCTTCTGCCTCTGGTGTGGTGCTTCTTCTGAGTTCTAGTTGTGTTCCTCCTCAGGTCACAGCAGGGAGAGGGGTGAACCATGAAATTATGTTGCACAAATTAGCGCCTCTTTGGCGGCTGGACACAGAATAAGGCAGGCGTGCTGTGAAATCAGTATTACAATAAGCAGTAGTAGTATTTTTTCCGACCTTAAATTGGAAATGATTTAAATCAGGACTGGAGTTTTCAAAACTTGCACAAATTAAATGCCATATTGATGATAGTGTTGATGAATTCCTGTAGCGGATGGCACCAGGCGACCCTACAAATATACTGTATATACCTGCATTCGTGTATCTGCTGTGTTTTCTATGTGTTAAAGAGAATTGTATTCCTCTGATTGTTCGGTAGTTTCATTCCCTTAGTTTATTCGAATGAAACTACCGAACAACCAGACCTCCCCTGTGTGAAGTGTGTCCTCAATTACCCGTTGCAACATTGTTGCGAACGGGTAATTGAATAGTAAGTAGCCGTCCTTTGTTCTCGGGGGTGGCCGCCATTCGACAAACGAACACGTGGCGGCGGCCATTTTAAAACTCCCGAACAGCGGTGTTTTGCCGTCGAGTGTCTGGAACTAAAATCGGACACTCGAGTAGGCGAACACCGCTGAGACCTCCACAAACCTGGTCCGTTCGGTTCCAAACTACCGAACGGCCCCTCGTTCGGTAGATAGAAAATACCGAACGAGGGGATTCAGGCGAACCCTCCCTAGCCTCTATAGCTAGAGGCTTTCGTGTATTTTGTTCCCTTATACCAGGACCGACCGCAAGGCCCATTCACATGGAACCTTATTCGGCTATCTCAGTTAGTGCGGTCGGTCATTTTATTCCCTCCATACATTTCCCGAACCCCTGGTCTGATCTGGGTGATTTTTGGATATGTTGTTCACCCAGATCAGGGGTATCCGGGGATGTAGGATTTAAAGAGGTACCCCTACGTTTAGGGGTACATCCAGAAACGGGGGGAATTACTGTACTGGATAAGGGGATTATGATGCTGGCTGAGGGGAGGAGATGTGTGGGAGGTTACCAGGACAGGATTGGCTACTGTAATAATTACTGTAAATCCCTCCCTTGCATGGGAGCATGCTTTATAAGGAGACTGTGGATTAAAGCTTTCAGTTCTGCTCCTGAAACTGTGTGTCGTCCAGTTATTGGGATTGCTGTTGGGATATTGCTGTATTTTACCTGCTGGAAGCCTTGCCTGTGGATTTACTATTTACTTGTTCCTGAGCCTCACTTGGATTATAAGCGGAGATAACCTGGGTAATATTGCATCTCCGCTACAATTCCTTCTGAATGTAATACTTAATAATTTGCACAGTATTTGGCGTGGGAGCATTTTAGTATACTACCCACTCCCAGTGCTTTATTATCATTTCTATTGTGCCAATATACTACCAAGTACCAAGGGCCTTATTATCATTTATAATATAAATACAATGCCAACAATATATCCAGAGCTTTATTATCATATAATGCCATATCCACCACCACCACCCCCCACTGACTACCAAGGGCTTTATTAATTTATAATTTACATTTATAATATAGTGCCAAATGCTAATATCCACCACTATCGCCCTGCCCCCCTACTCACTGGGCATTATTATCATATAAGAGTGCCAATTAAATTAGAGGGGCAAAGGTTTAAAAATATATGGAAGTATTACTTTACTGAGAGAGTAGTGGACGCATGGAATAGCCTTCCAGTTGAAGTGGTAGAGGTTAACACAGTGAGGGAGTTTAAGCATGCATGGGATATGCATAAGGCTCTCCTAACTATAAGATAAGGCCAGAGACTAATGAAAGTATTTAGAAAATTGGGCAGACTAGGTGGGCCGAATGGTTCTTATCTGCCGTCACATTCTATGTTTCTATGCCAAAATATATATATTATGTGTATATGTATGTATATGTCTCGGGTAGTGATCAGCACTCAGTGTTATAAGGTTAAAAGTTCAAAGTTTATTGCAAATCCATTAAAATACTTTTTAATGGATTTTCAATTAACTTCAAACTTTTAACCTTTATAAGACAGTGAGTGCTGAACACTACATGAGACATATATATTCCTCCCTGGATTACTAGCACCCGGCAAATACTTCACATAAGCGTGAGTGCAAGGACTGCCTGTATTTTGTTATTAATCATATATATATATATATATATATATATATATATATATATATATATATATATATATATATATATATATATACCCACTCAGAGCTTTATTATGATCTAGTAGTTAGTGCCATGTGCCTTCCACCACCACCACCCCTCACTGACTGAGTGAGTAACTAATACTTTGTTTATTGGAGTAAAGAAAAGAAAATTACCTTTTTAGTAGACCAGAAGGAAAAGATTGGCAATCTTTCAGACAGCACTACTTCAACTCCTCTCTAGAGGTCCCACAATTTTCGCGCCTGGTGCGTGCGCCTTTGTTTATTGGAGTAAAGAAAAGAAAATTACCTTTTAGGAGACCAGAAGGAAAAGATTGGCAATGTTCCAGGGTCACTTCTACACCAGTTTAAACTGGCTGCCATGCAACTCCCTTAAAGAGACTATTATAGTCACTGTAGCGGACCCTGGGTAACCCGGCTGGTTACCTCCGCTATTAATGGATGAAGAGACCCATCTCCCCCCAGTAACTGGACAACACACAGTTCCAGGGGTACAACAACAACTTTATTGGCCACACTCCGCTTTATACTTTACCCATGCAATGGGTGGATCACACATGAAGATAATGTCCCTTCCCAGGAGTCGTGTAACAGAACCCGAACTCCAGTCCCTTTCTCCCCTGTTCCCGCCACTTATGTCCCCTCCCAGGGGTCTTCTTCCCAGTAGTCTTTGTATCTGGGGTTCGTAGTGCGGGAATCTTCCTGCCTCTTTACCTCCCAGGGTCAGAGAGCCCGCCAACATCCGTCATTCTCCCCAAAGGATGTCCCCACCTATCTCCGGGACCCCCAGAACAGTAACATTCACGAACAGTAATCTGTGTGAAACCCGGCAAGTTAAGCATCTCCTTTCGGGACGCGAATCCTCCACCTGGCCGGCGTTCGTCTGTACGAACAGGGGCCACCCAGCAAAGCACTCATTCAATACTTCCCTTGTGGTTTCACATGTTGTGACTTGCCAACGCACCGAGGCTTCCCGTGCTATTTGTGGTTTTGACACCACATTATGAGGTGTGAACGTTTTGTATCAACATTCTAAATGAGGTTTTGTGGTGGTCCTCATTCGGAAGGTGAATGGAGTCCCTTCATGGCGGCACTCCGAACGTGGAGCAGGCAGCTCAGATGAACACACAGAGTAAAATACATGACTGAAACAGGGACAATACACAAAGGGATGCTAAGACAAGAACACACATCACAGAACAATCCGGTCAATTCACGTTTTAGCGGGGTTCCCGTTACAGTCACCAAAACAACTTTAGCTTAACCCCTTAAGGACCAAACTTCTGGAATAAAAGGGAATCATGACATGTCACACATGTCATGTGTCCTTAAGGGGTTAATGAAGCAGGTTTAGTGTATAAATCAGGCCCCATTCAGTATCACTGCTCAATTCGCTGTCATTTAGGAGTTAAATCACTTTGGTTATGTTGCCCTATTTACACCTCTTCTTTTACACAGCTTTACTTGCTGTAATGAGTCATCTAATATACACTTCCGCTATTGCAAATTCTGTTTTAATTTAGAAATTCTTATCTACTGGTCTGTTAATAGCTTGCTTCTCCCTACGGGAGACTCCTGTATATAATTAAGTTCAATTTACAGAGCAAAAGATAAAAACCTTTAAAGTAAGTTACATCTATTTGAAATTGAAACCATTTTATTTTCATGCAGGTTGTGTCAGTCACAGCCAGGGGAGGTGTGGCTAGGGCTACATAAACAGAAACAAAGTGATTTAACTCCTAAATGGCAGAGAATTTAGCAGTGAGACTTCAGAGGCATGATCTATACACCACAACTGCTTCATTAAGATAAAGTTGTTTTGGTGACTATTGTGTCCCTTTAAGTCTCCCTTGTGGTGCACAGTCCTTGTTACTGCCTTTCCCAACCCTTCCTTGAAAACACAGTGCTCCATTCACACTGGATGTAATTTAATTAAACTTCTTAGTTTGATCGATTGCTATCCCAAGTCCAACAGTCCATGCTGTTGGTTGACCTTTATACACATAAAGGAGGGAGTAGCACCTTGAAATGTCTTCAACTGTGAGAAAGGCACTACTCCCTCCTTTACGTATCCTACCTTGAAGAGGGGCGTTCAAGCTGCCTTCTTCATTCAATCTATACACTTCAAGTGCTAGAAGCCTACCACTACCTACTCTCTTTGAACTGGTTAACGTGTGTTCACGGTACAGAGAAAGAAATGTGTGACTAAATAAAGTGTACATTACTGTTCCCCACTAGGTGTCTGGCTGATAATTGTGGGGTAATGTCTGTGGAAGCTCTCTATCTCTCTGGTAGACCATTGGCACTACTAGTGGGTAGTCCTTAAAAGAAAGACAAGCACTGGGCAGAATAGATCTGGGTCCCAAGCCAGGGATCTGTCCTCCTGTATCTGCTACAAGGTTACCCATGCAAAAGAAAAAATATTTTGTCTGTCTGTGTTAGAAGACCTGAAAGCGGCCATGTGTGGTGTATTGTTATCAGTGGTTACATTGACTGTGGCAGCTGTTTAATTGAGATAAAGTATGGTCATGGTATAAATGTGGGTATTATGATGATTATAAGACATGATTATAAACAGGTAGCCCTAGCATAGCATTTCTCAGCCCTGTGCACTATACAGGACTTTATAATGGAGAAGGCCAGCATTGCACACACAGACAGGGGTAGCAGTGACAGAGGTGTGTGGTTGAAATATTTTCCAATGCAATATTTTCTCAGATCGGGAGCCCCGGTCTTTCGGTATTTGGGCTCCCAATAGTTGTTCGGTAATTTTAGGGGAATTTGATAGAAAAGTATGTTTTGTGCGACGTTCAGTTATTTATGCTGGGATTTGAGCGGTACTTTCACATACTAGCAGGATTAAGGTGATTCCCCTTCCAGGAAAAAGATAATGAAACAACTTTATAAATAACTCCAAGGTAACAAAATGACATCCTGTGTAGACAGAGAGAGAAAGCGTGAAGTATAGGCTTAGTTGGAGAGATCCTTTAATACACGTTTCTTTGAGCAGGATTACATTGTTGTGAAGAGATCTGTTGAGCCTACAATACAGAGAATCAGTCCCTGTGTGTTTAGTGGATCCAACATGACCCAGAGCCCCAACACAATGTGTCCACCTCACTCACTGATACATGAGGGAAACAATGAGCAGAACATCCTGGAACTGACCAATCAGATCATTCACCTGCTGACTGGAGAGGTGAGGCTGCTGGGAATGGGACATCATAGAGTAAAACCAACGGATGTGTCTGGATGGTGACTGGATAACGATGTTGGGATCTCACTGTCTGTTATTTCTTGTAGGTTTGGAAGCATTTAAAAGGGCAAAAGGAAACTTACAAGGAAGTGATGATGGAGAGTCACCACCCCCTCATCTCACTGGGTGAGACAACTGTAGCGGATAGCCCCAGGCGACCCTACAAATATACTGTTTTACCTGCATTCGTGTATCTGCTGTGTTTTCTATGTATTAAAGTGAATTGTATTCCTCTGATTGTTCGGTAGTTTCATTCCCTTAGTTTATTCGAATGAAACTACCGAACAACCAGACCTCCCCTGTGTGAAGTGTGTCCTCAATTACCTGTTGCAACATTGTTGCGAATGGGTAATTGAACAGTAAGTAGCCGTCCTTTGTTCTCGGGGGTGGCCGCCATTCGACAAACGAACACGTGGCGGCGGCCATTTTAAAACTCCCGAACAGCGGTGTTTTGCCGTCGAGTGTCTGGAACTAAAATCAGACACTCGAGTAGGCGAACACCGCTGAGACCTCCACAGCCCTGGTCCGTTCGGTTCCAAACTACCGAACGGCCCCTCGTTCGGTAGATAGAAAATACCGAACGAGGGGATTCAGGCGAACCCTCCCTAGCCTCTATAGCTAGAGGTTTTCGTGTATTTTATTCCCTTATGCCAGGACCGACCGCAGGGCCCATTCGCATGGAACCGGATTCGGCTATCTCAGTTAGTGCGGTCGGTCATTTTATTCCCTCCATACATTTCCCGAACCCCTGGTCTGATCTGGGTGATTTTTGGATATGTTGTTCACCCAGATCAGGGGTATCCGGGGATGTAGGATTTAAAGTGGTACCCCTACGTTTAGGGGTACATCCAGAAACGGGGGGAATGGGTGTGCTGGATAAGAGGATTATGATGCTGGCTGAGGGGAGGAGATGTGTGGGAGGTTACCAGGACAGGATTGGCTACTGTAATAATTACTGTAAGTTCCTCCCTTGCATGGGAGCATGCTTTATAAGGAGACTGTGGATTAAAGCTTTCAGATCTGCTCCTGAAACTGTGTGTCGTCCAGTTATTGGGATTGCTGTTGGGATATTGCTGTATTTTACCTGCTGGAAGCCTTGCCTGTGGATTTACTATTTACTTGTTCCTGAGTCCCACTTGGATTATAAGCGGAGATAACCTGGGTATTATTGCATCTCCGCTACAACAACGTTTAATCAGCAATGTGTTTGACTGTAGAGCAGATATCATATTCACTTACATTATTAAATAGCTGGAAACAGGTACACAGTGTGACATTTGTAGATGGATTACACACTGGTAAAGTGCACAAATAAAATAATTGTGTTATATTTTGCATGGATTACAGAGAAGAAGTAATGTCCACATATGATGGCCACCTAGCCTTTGTTAGTTCCCTCTTTCAGTTAGGCTGTTCTCTGAAGTATCTGTGAATCCTGATGGCAAGTTGATAGCTACCAGTTCAGTCCTATTCTCTCTTGATAGCTCATGAAGCCTTGTGTAAGCTTCCATTGGAAAATGAAGGCTTACTGGAGTAGAAGCCCTTTTGGCTCATCTAGTCTCAGGAATGTACATTTGTATTCCTGACACTATAGTGTTCCTTTAACCACTCCAATCTGAGATTATGACTTTAGAACTCTCTAATGAGAGCTCTCCCTCTGATTCTCTGCCGGGTGAGATTGAATCCATTACTTCTGTATATGAAGCATTGCAATGCCAAATGTGAAGACTTTCTAATATGGTGAATCTTCAGAAGGTAGCGTTTCTAATCGTTGTGTGATTGACAGTCTGACAGCCACTGTAAAAATTGCTGTTTTTAATCAACGGCATTGTTTACGTATGTCAGACTGCAGGGTCTATAGACCAAAAATACAACAATAACGTAGTTGTTTTTCTTCTTGAGTCTCACTGGGTATCCTTTTCAGTAAACTCAGTCTCAGATTATTAGACTGCAGGTGCATTTTTTTTCTTTCTGCTTAATGTCTTTATTGCATGTTATTGTACCGGTTTTTCATTTACTACTCCATTGTGGCGCATTATAACTCCCAGTACAATAATAATAAAACCACACGGGAGAGAGAACATCAAGTTAAAAATACCACCTAGACCTCTAGATCTCTGCCTTTTTATGATGTCGGTTAACAAAATGTCCTAATTGTGAGTATTTTCTTTCCAATAGTTGGCTCCACACACAGAAATGAAAATGGGGAATTTTACACTTCAGTTTCTTCTCTGGATTTTACAACCGAAGATAATAAGAGAACAATTAATCAAAACATGAGCTGTGTTGCAGTCAGTACATCAAGCGGTACATTTTTGAGTCGTGAAACTACAAAATCCAAGGAAGTAAATCTCCGAGACATCAATACGCCCATAGAACATAAACAGACTGAAGATCCGTCTACTCATATTAAGGAGGAATCAGACTCGTGTGAAGAGGGAAATCTCCCAGACACAGACATTTATACACCCGCAGAAGATGCACAGATAGAATATCCATCGACTTATATCAAGGAGGAATCAGTCTCATTGGAAGAAACAAATGTTGCTGAAGCTGCCATTTATACAATCAATAGAGATATACAAATGGACTATACATCAAAGTGTGAATCTGCATCAAATGATGATCAAATTCTCATAAGCAATAATATTTATACAGGCACAGACCATACAGAGGCAGAATCTGAGGAAGAACATCTCATAGACATTAATACGCCCATAGAATATTTGCAGAGTGAATATCCATTTACTCATATTAAGGAGGAATCAGACTCGTGTGAAGAAAAAAAACTTGTTCAATCTGCTATTTATAAAACCAAGTTGGGTATAAAAATGGGCTATACATCAAAGTGTGATTCGGCATCAAATGAAAAAGAAATTCTTAATAACACTAATATTTATATACACACAGATCATAGACAGACAGAATATCCACCTGACCTTATTAAGGCAGAATCAGCCTCATGTGAAATCGGCACTCTCTCCAGTATCATGGTTTATACACCTACAGGAGATAAACAGATGGACTATACATCAAATAATGAATCCGTATCAAACAAAGAAGAAAATTTTGGAGACATAGACATTTATGTACCCACAGAACATACACAGAGAGAATATTCATCTACTCTTATTAAGGAGGAATCCGCATCATATGAGGATGGACATTTCACCACCTTAGACCTTCTTACCCCTCTTTGCCATACTGGAATACAAAACAAAGAGAATAGTAGCTGCTATGATGGTGCTAAAGTTTTGTCCACCAATTCAGAGATGGATCAGAGTGTCCACAAAGGAAACAAATTGACCAGTGCCGATTACATTGGACGTAAGTGTTTTAATCAGAACTCCTATTTTATCAGACATAAGAGAGCCCCCAAAGGAGAGAAGATAATGTCTTGTTCTGAATGTGGGAAATATTTTGCTCGAACATCGGATCTCAAGAAACATATGAGGATTCACACAGGAGAGAAACCATTTTCATGTTCAGAATGTGAGAAATGTTTCACCCAAGTGTCAAATCTTAAATCACATCAGAGGATTCACACAGGAGAAAAACCAATTTCTTGTTCTGAATGTGAGAAATGCTTCGCTCGAAGGTCAGAGCTTAAGAGACACATGATGATTCACACAGGAGAGAAACCATTTTCCTGTTCTGCCTGTGGGAAATGCTTCAAAAGCATGTCAAGTCTTAAGATACATCAGAGGACTCACTCTGGAGAAAACACATTTTCTTGTCGTGAATGTGGGAAATGCTTCACTCAAAAAACTAATTTTAAGATACATCAGAGGATTCACACCGGAGAGAAACCATTTTCATGTTCAGAATGTGGGAAATGTTTTACTGACCCTTCAACTCTTAAGCGTCATCAGAAAATTCACACAGGAGAGAAACCATTTTCATGTTCAGAATGTGGGAAATGCTTCACTCAAAAGACAAATTTTAAGATACATCAGAGGATTCACACCAGAGAGAAACAATTTTCATGTTCAGAATGTGGGAAATGTTTCACTGACCCTTCATCTCTAAGGCATCATAAGAGGATTCACTCAGGAGAAAAACCTTTCTCATGTTAAGACTGTGAGAAATGTTTCACTCAAACGTCACATCTTAAAAAACATCAGAGGATTCACACAGGAGAAAAAATTAATTCTTGTTCTGAATGTGGGAAACGTTTTGCTCAAATGTCAGATCTTAGGAAGCATTTGAGGTTTCACACAGGAGAAAAACCTTTTTCATGTTCAGAATGTAGGAAATGTTGTACTGACCCTTCAAATCTTAGGAGAACTCAGAGGATTCATAAAATATAGAAATACTTTTCATCTTCTGATTGTGGGAAATGATTTGCTCAAATGCCAAAGATTACGAAACATATGCGGATTCACAAAGCATTCATTCTCTTGTTAAGAACATATTTGTAATTTTAAGGGATTTTAGACATCAGAGGATTCACACAGAATAGCAGATTTTCAGGGTTAATGAGTAAAGTGAGAATTCAAAGTTAATTTCAACTTGAAGTTCAAAATGGCTGAAGTTTGTTTGTTGTTCTTTCAGTTCAGCCAGTCTGGTGTTAAATTTAAAATATTCCCTTCATATTCACTTTAAAATCTCCCTTTTGTAAATAATAATGTTAGTGTTTCTACCTTTATACAAAGCCAAAATGAAAAACAAAGCATAATCCAAACAATATTACACAAGGGTGATACTCCACCTCCCACCACTTGTCATCTGCCTTTCCCTCTTCTCACTTTCCTCCTTCTCACCTCCCTCTTTCTTTCTTACCTCCTCAACCAATCCTCTCCCAACTCAACATACCCATCCTGGAAACTGCGGCACTTGACTACAACTCGATAACTCCCTGAGATGGGCCACTTAGACAGAGGACCATGATACTATCTCATCCCGTCCCTCATAGACAGAGGGGTGGGACAAATACCAGCACCACCGCTCTGAGTACTCCTAGACTTCAGGGACATAAATGCAGGGCTGGACTGCCCCCCGGGATACAGTGAAATTTCTAAGGGGGCCGTGACACCTGGGGCTGATCAGACAACCCTAAATTAGGCTAATTTATTTTAAATGATTTTCCCCTCGGACTGTGCCTGACAGTCGCCCTGCACAATCCTAAGCAATTCTGTGCCGCCTGCCCACCCCCACACTCAAGCACCTCCTTCCGAACACATGCCCTACCTCCTGTGAGTAAGCGCTGCACCCACAGGCAGACTGCTGACCTCGCTGGAAAGAAGAGGCCAGAGAATGACAAATTAACCTACCGGTGCCAGGTTAGCTTTAGCCTTGACAGTGATTTTGTGTGTGTGTGTGTGTGTGTGTGTGTGTGCCTGCTAGTGAGTAAGCTTGTGTATGCCTGCAAGTGAGTGAGCTTGTGTGTGTATGTGTCTCTGCTGGTGTGTGAGCTTGTATGTGTGTGTGACAATGAGCTTGCCTGTCGTAAGCATGTGTGACAGTGAGCTTGTCTGTAGGGAGCATGTGTGTGTCAGGGAGCTGTTCTGTAGAGAGCATGTGTGTGCGTCAGTGAGCTTGTCTGTAGTGAGCATGTGTGTGACAATGAGCTTGTCAATAGTAGGTTTGTGTGTGTGTCAGTTTGTCTGTGCTAAATATGTGTTGATGTTTAAGCTTGTCTATGTATGTCAATGAGATTGGGGGGTGAGGTGGGGGAGTTAGAAACCACGCATAACCGTATCGGTTTTCCATTTTGTATGCAATGTTTGTGCTTCATCCCGTAGGGGAAAACTGTTTTATTTGATGACCTTAATAAAAATGGATTTAACACACACCATATTACATACTGGTAGTTACCATGTATGACGTCTCAAAAATTGTCTTTATTTTTTTTGCTTGGCTTGTGTAGACTGCCGCTGGGGAGAGGGGGTAACCTGCTCCTCTCCCTGACACTCTCTTTGCTGGTGGAGAGGGGGACCAACTGTCTCCCCTTTCAATATTTTGTCCTGCGGCTGGGGTGCGAGACAGACGGTCTCTGCTTCCTGGGGTACACACTGCCGCTGGGGAGGAAGGACGGCACCTTCAGCTCCCTGGGGTACACACTGCCGCTGGGGAGGAAGGACGACACCTTCAGCTCCCTGGGGCCGCTCAGTACACACTGCCGCTGGGGAGGAAGGGATGGGTCTCTGCTGCTCCCTGGGGTACACACTGCTGCTGGGGAGGAAGGATGGCACCTTCAGCTTCCCAGGGGTACACACTGCCGCTGGGGAGGAAGGACGACACAGCTCCCTGGGCTCCCTGGGATACACACTGCCGCTGGGGAGGAAGGACGGCACCTTCTGCTCCCTGGGGTACACACTGCCGCTGGGGAGGAAGGACGACACCTTCAGCTCCCTGGGATACACACTGCAGCTGGCTGGAGGAGGAAGGACACCTTCAGCTCCCTGGGATACACACTGCCGCTGGGGAGGAAGGACCACACCTTCAGCTCCCTGGGATACACACTGCCGCTGGGGAGGAAGGACAGCACCTTCTGCTCCCTGGGGTACACACTGCCGCTGGGGAGGAAGGACGACACCTTCAGCTCCCTGGGATACACACTGCCGCTGGGGAGGAAGGACGGCACCTTCAGCTCCCTGGGATACACACTGCCGCTGGGGAGGAAGGACGGCACCTTCAGCTCCCTGGGACACACACTGTCGCTGGGGAGGAAGGATGACACTTTTGGCTCCCTGGGACTCACACTGCCGCTGGGGAGGAAGGACAACACCTTCTGCTCCCTGGGGTACACACTGCCGCTGGGGATGAAGGACGGCACCTTCATCAGCTCCCTGTGACACACACGGCCGCTGGGGAGGAATGACGACACCTTCAGCTCCCTGGGACACACACTGCTGCTGGGGAGGAAGGACGACACCTTCAGCTCCCTGGGACACACACTGACGACACCTTCAGCTCACTGGGAGACACACTGCCGCTGGGGAGGAAAGACGACACCTTCAGCTCACTGGGAGACACACTGCCGCTGGGGAGGAAGGACGACACCTTCAGCTCACTGGGAGACACACTGCCGCTGGGGAGGAAAGACGACACCTTCAGCTCACTGGGAGACACACTGCCGCTGGGGAGGAAGGACGACACCTTCAGCTCCCTGGGACACACACTGCCGCTGGGGACTCTCCCAACCTGCAAACTTACGTGCCCGCCCTGCTCTGACCTGCAGGTACTCTTCTACATGTCTCCTCACAAGCTGCACACATCTCTGCGGGGGGTTGGGTCCAAAGAAAGCCATCCGCGTGGTAAATTCTCTGTCATACTGCTCCTGAGTGTAGCTGGGTGCCATGCTTGCCCTGCTGCCCTCCATTTGTAAGTCCAGGGGATGGTGTTACCTTGTAGCTGTCCTTCTGGGCTGTGGGAATGATCCCGTCGCTTGCCACCAATTGTAACGGACCGTTTTGCCCAAAAGAGGTTAAAAACTGTTTAGGCGATATTCCCCTTTTTCAGCTGCACCAACAGCTACTGCAAGCACCAATCTCCTGAACTGCAAACCCACAAATTCACCAACTCCCGAACTGCATACCAAGGGAATACTCGAAACTCCCGAACTGGAGACACACGAATAGCTGCTAGCAGGCGAACAGGAAAAGCCCCCAAGCGACTTACACTCCTGGCAATCAGTCTCTAACAGCATACAGTAAATCCTCCCCCAATAATGAAACGACACTTCACTTTGAGGGTTAAGCAGGAACTATACTGTAATGGCCACACACTGGCTTTTATGCAAGTCCCCATGCAAGGGGACATCCCACAGGGTGGGACACAGTACAACCAATCATTTACGGGAGAACCGTAAAACACACCGACAATTACATCACAATCCCTCCTCTCTGTCCTGGAGATAATTGTAAAGTAATTCAATTATCTCCCAGGACAAAGACAAGACTCCATTAACCACATGGCAGTAACAATACAATAAAAGACATAAAATTACATACAGTTACATTTATTCCATAAAACATAGACATTCTACATATCCCCAGATAGCTTAGATCTGAGTGCACATTACTACCGAATGGCGCTCAGATGACATAGATACAGTTCAATTGCCATGGAGCCGAAGTCTTAAACTACACGAATGGGCTCCATGGCATAGCTATCTGGGTTAACACATTCACATAAAGTCTGGTCCATAGTCCAAAGGTAAGAGGCGGGCAAGCAGCCCCCTCCAAGGACACGTGGTGAGGCCGGTTTCGCCACAGCGTGTTTCTTCAAGAAATACATAAAACAAAAGGAAATAAAACCCCAAAAATAAGGTTACCTGCTCAGTATCCCACATCCCTTTATACTTTTAAATAGCTGGAGATTTCAAATCTTTTCAAACGATTTATCAATAAAAATTCCTATTTACTTTAATCATGAGTGACTTCTGTAAATGAACTATTTGGAAAATATTTCAACAAGTGTCTGTGGCAAACCTAACCACTTTAGGTCATATTGCAGAACATTTAAAGGTTGTCTGAAATAGCTGTGGTAACCTGGTGTAAAAATGTATTCGTGTGTTTTAGAATAGAGAGCATGCATAGGCTAACAGCCGAAAGCCGCTAGCATTCATATGGTTGTTTCACGAACAGTGACTCTAAACACTGTTCGTGAAACTAATAAGGTACCGAACGGGAGCTCACCCGCATAGGGTTGTGTGGCGCCCATTAACGTTGTTGCAATCGGTAGTTAATTGCTTTCCTAGGTGGCCGTCGTTCGGCTACCGACCACGCGGCGCCTGGAACTAAAATCGGCTACTCGACGGCGCGAACACCGCTGGACTTCCAGGTCGTTCGGGAGCCCCGGTCTTTCGGTATTTGGGCTCCCAATAGTTGTTCGGTACTTTTAGGGGAATTTGATAGAAAAGTATGTTTTGTGCGACGTTTGGTTATTTATGCTGGGATCTGAGCGGTGCTTTCACGAAGTGTGCGCTCAGACCCCAGCTATCTACCGAACGGTCATTTATTGTAATCCCACGAATAATGTCAAAGTTATATATTTTTATGTTAAAACCCGGTTCTGCTGTATGGAGGGATAATCCACTTAACAGGATATTCTAGTGGGAGTATCCCTCCAGTACAGCAGTGCATGGTGGGAGAAATGTCTTGTGTTTTCAGTTTCCCATGTAGTCCACTACTGTATAGCCCCTGTAAGGGGATTAAGGAAACCCCTTGCATGGGGAATTGCATAAATACTGGAGCTGTGAATAAAGACCTCACTTGACTCCCAGAACTGTGTTTCGTCCGGTTACTGGGGGATTTGGGATATTGCTTTACTTTCCAGCGCTTTACTTTGGATTACTTGCTATACCAGCGGAGATATTGGGATTTAATATTGCAACTCCGCTACAGTATCCTCGGACAGCAGGGTCCGCTACGGCTACCTTCCTGTTTATTCAACTGGGTCCTATCAAGCGATTATTAAGTGGATCTATTGGACCTGCAAAAGTTAGAGCAGACTTTTGCTGATTATTGGTTGTGTTATGTGCACAGATAATTGCACAATGTTTTTGGTTTGCACTTTATTATTGCACTAAAGATTTTTAGACTTTATAGTTGTTGCTTGTTTCACATTGTCTTTTTCACTAAATCTTTTACCACTTTTTTGTCACTTGTTTTTGTTGGGAATCATAAATGTGATATCCAGTGATATTTATTTTTGTATTCTGGCAGTGGAGTGTCCCTTTCAAGGAATGCTTTATCCTAATGAAGCATGAGCTCAATTCTCTGTTACTTAGAAATTAAATCACATTTGTTTCTGTTTACGCAGCCCTAGATGTGACAGCACAGTGTGTTTACTTTAGAGGGTTTTTTCTCTCATGTTCTGTTAATTGAACTTTAATCAACACAGGATGCTCTTGTAGCCTCTAGCAGGCTTTTGACAAAGCAGGAAAGAATAAATTATAATTTAAACACACTGTGCAATAAAGGACTAGTGAGCAGTAATACTGCAGTGGCAAGCTATTAGATCCTCTTTATTTATCTTTTTATTTTTTACTAAGAATCACCTGAAGCCGGAAGACTGGACTCAATTTTTACTCTTGGCTTGGTATGTTTTTTTTTTTGTGTTTTAATTCTTGTTTAGTTTTTTAAGTATTACTCCAACTATCAAAACCACCACAGTCCTCAGTGTTCTGATGCTTTGGAGTTCCCAAGTGCCTTCTCCCACTAGGGGTACAATGCTTTGCCCTCTTACCAGGGTCCTCTTCATGTGCTTGGTCTCCTGTTTAGAAGGATTGAGACATCTGAATTGTGCAGAGCTGTATAAGTCATCTGCTAATCATTCTCTTTATTCATTGGCTGAGAGCATCACCTGTTTGCTCTCTGACAAAATTTGAGCATGTGTGTAGAGAGTAGAGATATGTACATAATTGATATTAGGTAGCCTTATTTCATTTGGTCTGGGCTGGCAAGTGGTGGGGTTGCAGCTCTGGCACATACCCCAGCCACCATGATGGTTTAGGATTTTTATTGTAGGTGCTTTTTTCTGCTATTATTTTTGACAGTATTGCCCTTCTCGCTCCCATATAGAGTGTAGAAGAAAAATGGTTCAGAACATAGCGGTAGACCCTTTTCATGTGCTGTCCTGTGGGCACTCAAAGTCTTTTCTGAAATCTGTTTTTATCTGGCAAAAGCGAGGTAAGGTAATCCAATGGTCAATATACATACGGCAAAGGTTCAGCAATGGGGAGACCGCTCAGAGGTCAGGTAAATCAGGAAGCACAAGTAGTAGCAGCGATAAAGCATAGAACAACTGAGCAAGGGTTAAATAGGGTGCCAAGTGTCACACACCTAATCTGGCATGCTCCTATAGCATCCTATTGGTGCATGGGGGTGTCAATCTTCAGGGATGCATGGGAGTTTGTCCTGTGTTGATTAGTTTCAACCGTGCCCCCCTCTCTCTTCCCCCCCTGGCATGAAACGATGGCGCATGTCTCAAATCACAACAAATTTTGCCTAACAGACTTTTTCAAGTTACAACACATCTAATTTTTTTTAAAAGGGTCCTGATTGAGCATTTACTCTATATTCAATGACAAGGATTATATTGTCAGAAGCTGATACATGAGAGCTGCTAGTAGCTCCTTACATGTGAGTGTATTTTAAATTATTTCTACTCTGTCTTGTTTGTTACAATTTCACACTATTGGTTCTCAGTGGGAAGTGCTGCACGAAGCAGATCCCTTACAGGCAAATGTGGACAACCGCCAGCATGGAGGGCAAAGCTGTGTAAGGACTCCGCGACTCAGGAGCCACTGTAACTCTGGTCAAAAGCCACCTCGTATCTGACAAAGTCAAGACCAGCAAGACTGTAGCCGTCAGGGTAGCTGGGGGAGCAGTATACCGGCTACCTACAGCAAGGGTTCTCCTACATTGGGAAGCGGAGTCAGGGAATGTGGAAGTGGGGTTGATGCCGCAATTGCCCGCGGAAGTTTTGCTGGGGAATGGTCTGGGAAGGCTCACTTCTGCTTTTGAGCCCCAGGCCCCAACCATAGGAGAAGCACATCCCGAGGTCACCAGTTAACAGGCCCGCACCCAGGACCACAGCACACTATCGGAGGTTCAGGTAAGAGATCCTACCCCTTCTAGACTATGTCCCCTGGGCCCCCCCTAACGAATTTGCAGCAGAGGTGATAACTGACCTTACTTTACAAATATATAGGGACAAGGTTGCAGCTGACCAACCCGGGGGGGAGGGGGAGGGCGAGAGATTTATCTGGGATAAGCAGCTCTTATACAAAGAGTCCAACAAACAGATAGCCGGGTCCGACCCAATTGTTATGAGACAGCTAGCGGTACCGAGCGGCGTTGCTCCGGATAGCACACGATATTCCGCTATCCGGACATTTAGGGGTCAGTCGAACCAGGTACTGACTGACCCAAAGTTTATTTTGGCCAGGAACCAGCCAGGAGGTCCGCAAGTACTGCAGTACTTGTGATACGTGCCAGAGGATAGGGAAACGGGTAGACCGGCAGAAGGCAAAACTGCACCCGCTACCCATAATTGAAGAACCTTTTAGCAGAATAGCAGTGGATTTAATAGGCCCACTCCAGAAACCTAGCCCATCTGGCAAGAAATATATTTTAATTGTTGTAGACTATGCCACTAGATATCCAGTGACTCTGACCAATATCCAAGCTGAAAGGTGGCCGAGGTCCTCATGCAGATTTTCTCCCGGATGGGGTTACCCAGGGAGATCATCTCAGATCAGGGTACTCAATTTACCGCGGAGGTCACCCAGCACCTCTGGAAGTTCTGTGACATTAAGCCTATCATCAGTGCCCCTTACCATCCCCAGACCAATGGGCTCTGCGAACGGTTCAATGGTACATTGAAACAAATGCTCCGAACCTTCGCCAAGACCCACAGGGACTGGGAACGATTCCTGCCCCACCTCCTCTTTGCTTACCAGGAGGTGCCGCAGAAGTCGACCGGGTTCTCCCTATTCAAATTTGTGGCGGAACAGGCCTCACCACGTGTTCTTGGAGGGGGCTGCTTGCCCGCCTCCTACCTTCTGACTATGGCCCTGGGATATATGGCATTTGAAAACACGATTTGCGCCCTGTGACAAAACTGGAGATTGTGCACAAATATGACTATTGTCCATATTTTTTATGATTCCATTAGTATGTTGCACTGTTCCCCATGTGTTTTTCATCTGTTGGTTCCGGCTGGATAAACTACCAGACGAACTGTGGAGTTACTGAGTGGCCACCATTTCATGTATCAGAGGCACATGGTGAGAACAATGGATGGCGGCCATTTTAACTCACAGACACTGTTTGGACTTTTCTACACGGTGCCATCTCGCCGGTATTTGGTGCACAAAGACATTGTGCAGTAGTTTTAAACTATACAACAGGGGACACATTATACAGTAATTATTTTTCATATAGCCTGTATATGTTCTGCGGAATCTGCATTAAACTGTATCTTCCAAACTATTGCATGGATCTGGGTGAATTTTGGATATGTGGTTCACCCAGATCCACCGGGTCCGAGGATATATATTTATTTTTTTTACTTTTTATGGGGTTATTGCATGTTTTGGGGCTCCTGTGATATGTTTTATAATACTGTATTTCTCTGCCTATGATAATTATATTAACCATTGTGTTCAGTAATCATATCACAGGCAGAGGGGAGGATTTTGTGTGGGAGTGTCTGTGTGTATTGTACAGATTGGTTGTATTTCAAAACCCTGTGGGCAGTACTATGTTTGTGGATTGTGAATAAAAGAGGCTGTATGTGCCAGTACAGTCAGTTCTGCTTGACCTCAAAACGGAGTGTCGTCTCGTTATTGGGGGAATTGGATTGTATGCTGATTGACAGGAGTGTAAGCTGATTGTATGCTTTTCCTGTCCAGCTGCTTACAGCATTCATATGCTTGAGAGCATTTGTATGCTTCTCCGGTTCGGTGGTTGTGGTGTCTGCTGCAGTGCTTGGAGTCCTCAAGAAGGGCTAGGAGCATCCTTCAACGGAGGCACCCAGTCGGGGTGCCAGGTGATCCGTTACAGAATTGTTATATGGGAGGAGAGTAAGAGGGCCTCTAGATCTTATTAGAGAACATTGGGAGGGAGACCGGAGTGCAGACGGCACCCCCATCGTACCATATGTGTTGGCATTTCGAGACCGCCTAGAAGCATTGACTAGGACGGTAAAGGAAAACCTTCAGGCGGCTCAGACCCACCAGCGCACATGGTATGATCGGGGCGCTAGGGACCGTAACTTCCAGGTTGGGCAGAAAGTTTTAATTTTAAAACCTGTCTGACATGAAAAGTTACAGGCTGCCTGGTAGGGCCCTTATAGAGTGGTGGAACAGAGATGTGACACCACTTATATAATTGGCCCTTGCGCAGGAACTGGGGGGCGACGCATGCTCCATGTGAACATGATGAAGCCCTACCAGGAACGTTCAGAGGAGGTGACCGCTATCTGTGCGCCAAACTCTTACGAGTTTGACAGCCTTCCCCTCCCAGACCTGTTGGGGGGCGGTCAGTTGTCTGGGGATTTAGGAGAAGTTGCACTAGGAGACTGGCTGAGCCCCCAGGAGCGTGTCGAGGTACAGCAGCTGCTAAGAGCGAAGCAAGATACCTGGATACACTCCTCTGGCCACCCACCGGGTGGAAACCCAAGGAAAACTACCCATGCGCCAGACCCCCTACCCCATCCCCAAAGCGGTGCGGGAAAATATGCGCAAGGAGATCGATGAGATGCTCCAATTGGTGGTGATTGAGCCATCGGACAGCCCCTGGGCTTCCCCAGTAGTCCTCGTACCTAAGCGGAACGGTACGACCCACTTCTGCGTGGACTACCGGAGGTTGAATGAGAAAACAGTGTCCGACGCCTATCCTATGCCCAGGATAGACGAACTGCTAGACCAGATGGCCAGAGGCCAATACCTTACTACTATTGATCTGTGTAAGGGGTATTGGTAGATTCCCTTGGCCCCGGACGCCATCCCTAAGTCAGCCTTTGTCACCCCATTCGGCTTGTACCAATTTAAGGTCATGCCGTTTGGGATGAAAAACGCCCTGGCTACCTTCCAGCGGATGGTGGACCGACTCCTAGATGGGTTCCAGGACTACACCTGCGCATACCTAGATGATATTGTTATCTTCAGCAATACCTGGCAGGAGCACTTGGCCCATATAGGAGCGGTTCTAGACAGGATTAGGGAGGCCGGTTTGACATTGAAACCAGCCAAATGTATAGGGATGGCTGAGGTACAATACCTGGGACATCGAGTGGGCTGTGGGAAACAAAAACCAAAACCAGCCAAAGTAGAGGCCGTAGCCCAATGGTCCACCCCTAGGACTAAGACGCAGGTGTTAGCGTTTCTCGGGACGGCAGGGTATTATAGGAAGTTTGTCCCCAATTAAAGCGCCCTGGCCAAACCCCTTACCGGTAAGAACCTTCCCCGCCAAGTAACCTGGACCCCGGAGTGTGAGAAGGCATTCCAACATATGAAAAATGCACTTATCTATGCCCCTGTCATGGCAGCTCCCAATCCAACTAAACGTTTTCTTGTTCACACAGAAGCTTCTATGTTTGGCTTGGGGGCAGTACTGAGCCAAGTCGGGGCAGATGAGGGAGAACATCCCATGGCTTACATCAGTCGCAAGTTATTATCCAGAGAAGTAAGCTACGCCGCCATCGAGAAGGAATGCCTGGCTGTGGTGTGGGCCCTAAAGAAGTTACAACCGTATTTATATGGACTGCCATTTTCCTTGCTCACGGATCACAAGCCGTTAGTATGGCTGAACTGGGTAGCTGGGGACAATGCCAGGCTGCAGCGCTGGAGTTTGGTGCTGCAGCCCTTTGACTTTAACATACAGTACCACCCAGGCAAACAAAATGGAAACGCTGACGGGTTGTCGAGACAAACAGACTTGGAGAAATGATCTGTGAGCACCCCGGACATTCCCAAGCCGATCTGTGTTGAATCAAACTGTGTATGCCAGCTAGTGGGCAAGGGGAGCAGGGTAACGGATTTGCATTAAGGCAGTCCTCAAGAATTCATATTAAAAATGTATTTGTGTAATGGTTTCCCTGTATAGCTGTAAGTGTATGTAGCTTTCGTATGATTGTTCGGTAGTTTTCATACGAATGACACTACCGAACCATCAGACCACCCCAGTGAGAAGTGTGCACTTCGTTAAGCGTTCACACTCTGTAAACCGCAGCTTTATTGATACAATATATGTGCCTGTGTGGTCGCCGTTCGGCATACGAACCACGTTCCGCGGCCATCTTACGCAAGAAAATCTCAGCGGTGTTTGAGTGTCCGATTTGAGTTCCAGACACTCGACGACCAAACACCCGAACACCGCTGAGACCTCCAGAGCTCCATAACTCCCGAACGGAAGGACCAGTCAGCCCCTCGTTCGGTAAAATAAATGTACCGAACAAGGGAATACACGCGAATATAAGATTAGCTGTGGATGGCAAGGATTACTGTATGTTTTAACTACTGAACGGAGACCCACCGCAGGGCCAAAACACATGGAGCCTTTTTCGGATACCACCTTGTGTGCGGTCTGTCAAATTGCACTTTCCACCTAACTCCCGAACCCCTGGTCTGATCTGGGTGAATTTTGGATATGTTGGTCACCCAGATCAGGGCTACCAGGGGGTACCCAAAGTATTATTCTAACTGCTTGTTTTGGGGTACATTCAGAATTCAGGGAAAACTACAGTATGTTTAATGGGATTATGTGTCACACTGAGGGGAGGAGATATGTGGGAGGTAACTGTTACATTATTGGCTACTGTACTAATTATTGTGAATCCCTCCCTTGCATGGGAGAATGCTTTAAAAGAAGGTTGAGTGATTAAAAGTTTAGTTCTGCTCCTGATGCTGTGTGTCGTCCAGTCATTGGGATATGTATGGGGATATTCGTGGATTACCTTACTTGCTGTGATTATTATTCTATGGTATTTTATAATTTTTTCCTGAGCCTCGCTGGGATCTTTAGTGGAGTTAACCTGTGAAAGACCAGCTCTCCGCTACATGGTCATTAAAAGCCGGTTCTGTTGTACCCTTTTTCTTGACTTCGGCTGATGTTTGGGGATTCGTATGCTTTATTAAGGGAATTATAAAGCTATTTGTATTCGTATGGATTTCGTCTATTTCATCTACCGAACGGAGAGCTATGCTCACTGATGCTCTGGCGGTTCGGGAGGAAACTACCGAATGAGGATTGAATATACTAGGTTTCCTTACAACTGGTGGCAAGCGGAGGGATTCGAATCCCGAATGGATGGCCTGAACCAAGCAAGGGAATGAATGGCTCAGCAATACCAGCTACTTAAAAGATCCATGCTAAAAGATTTACTGGAAGCTCGAGGCGTAGTGGGAAGTAACAAGACAAAAGCCACGTTAATTGCAGATTTAATACAGAGCGACGGAACCAGTAATACAGAGATGGAGCACGAGGAAGAAATGGAGATGCAGAAGGATATCAGATGGATGCTCAGTGTATTGGGACCCAATCCATCAACAGAGTGATTAAAAGTCATGGCACAAGCCAGACAATCGCAAAAAGAGCGAGAGGACCAAGACAGACCGTTGCAGAGGGATTTCCTACACTCCACGGGAAGTACAAATGACCTACCAAAGAAGGTAAACTATGCAGCGTTTAAAACTTTTAATAAACTGATAATGATAGGGAAATTGACAGTTATTTACAAGACATTGAACGTCAATGTGCGCTGGAGGGATTAGATGCCACAAAATGGGCTGCAGTACTTAGCAGCAAGCTATCAGGAAGAGCAGCAGAGGCGTTGCGAGCAGTACCTGATGGGGACATACACAATTATGACAAGGTAAAAGACATTTTGTTGGCCAGATACGCTGTAACCCCAGAGGCGTACAGGAAGAAGTTTAGGGAACTTCGGAAAACAGGGAAAGATTCACACACTGAATGGGCTTTCCGGCTACACAGGGCAGCCCGGAATGTCAGTAAAAGCAAAAAATTAAAGAAACCACTATGGTACTCCACAGATGTGGCCAAAATAGTTAAAAACAAAAAGTTAGCATTTAGGAATTATAAAAAAAACCAGAATGAGGAAGACAAAATGATCTATAAGATTAGGCAGAAAGAGGCTAAGCAAGTTATAAGAGCTTCCAAATCACACACAGAAGAGAAAATAGCACAGTCAGTAAAAAAGGGGGATAAAACATTTTTCAGATACATAAATGAGAAAAGAAAAGTAAAACAAGGATTAGTTAGAATAAAAACAAAAGAAGGAAGATATGTAGAAGAGGATAAAGGTCTAGCTGACTGCCTCAATGAATATTTTTGTTCTGTATTTACAGATGAAAATGAAGGAAAAGGACCTCAGTTGAGAAAAAGGATAAATGAGTAATTTATTACACGTGAGTTTACAGAGGAAGAGGTTCTATTTCAACTGTCAAAAGTAAAGACAAATAAGTCAATGGGACCTGATGGAATACACCCAAAGCTATTAAAAGAGCTTAGTGGTGTACTAGCAAAACCATTAACAGATTTATTTAACCAATCATTGTTAACAGGAGTAGTCCCAGAAGATTGGAAGTTAGCGAATGTTGTGCCCATTTACAAGAAAGGTAATAGGGAGGAGTCGGGCAACTATAGGCCAGTAAGCCTTACTTCAGTAGTGGGGAAAGTGATGGAAACCATGTTAAAGGATAGGATTGTTGAACATCTAAAAACACATGGATTTCAAGATCAGAGACAACATGGGTTTACTTCAGGGAGATCATGCCAAACTAATCTTATTGATTTTTTTGATTGGGTAACTAAAATTATAGATCAGGGTGGTGCAGTAGACATTGCTTACCTAGATTTCAGTAAGGCTTTTGACACTGTTGCACATAGAAGGCTTATCAATAAACTGCAATCTTTAAGTTTGGATTCCAATATTGTTGAATGGGTAAGGCAGTGGCTGAGTGACAGGCAACAGAGGGTTGTAGTTAATGGAATATATTCGAAGCTTGGACTTGTCACCAGTGGGGTACCTCAGGGATCTGTACTTGGACCCATTCTCTTTAATATTTTTATTAGTGATATTGCAGAAGGTCTTGATGGTAAGGTATGTCTTTTTGCTGATGATACTAAGATATGTAACAGGGTTGATGTTCCAGGAAGGATAAGCCAAATGGCAAATGATTTAGGTAAACTAGAAAAATGGTCAGAATTGTAGCAACTGACATTTAATGTGGATAAGTGCAAGATAATGCATCTTGGACGTAAAAACCCAAGGGCAGAATACAGAATATTTGATAGAGTCCTAACCTCAACAATTGAGGAAAGGGATTTAGGGGTGATTATTTCTGATGACTTAAATGTAGGCAGACAATGTAATTGAGCAGCAGGAAATTCTAGCAGAATGCTTGGTTGTATAGGGAGAAGTATTAGCAGTAGAAAGAGGGAAGTGCTCATGCCATTGTACAGAACACTGGTGAGACCTCACTTGGAGTATTGTACACAGTACTGGAGACCGTATCTTCAGAAGGATATTGATACCTTAGAGAGGGTTCAGAGAAGGGCTACTAAACTGGTTCATGGATTGCGGGATAAAACTTACCAGGAAAGGTTAAAGGATCTTAACATGTATAGCTTGGAGGAAAGACGAGACAGGGGGGATATGATAGAAACATTTAAATATATAAAGGGAATCAACACAGTAAAGGAGGAGACTATATTTAAAAGAAGAAAAGCTACCACAACAAGAGGACATAGTCTTAAATTAGAGGGACAAAGGTTTAAAAATAATATCAGGAAGTATTACTTTACTGAGAGGGTAGTGGATGCATGGAATAGCCTCCCAGCTGAAGTGGTAGAGGTTAACAGAGTGAAGGAGTTTAAGCATGCGTGGGATAGGCATAAGGCTATCCTAACTATAAGATAAGACTAGGGACAAATGAAAGTATTTAGAAAATTGGGCAGACTAGATGGGCCGAATGGTTCTTATCTGCCGTCACTTTCTATGTTTCTATGTTTCTATATTATTTTATGAACACAAATCGCTTTGTAAGAGGAACCCCTGTCCTGCCCTGTGGCACTCACCATATGGTTCCTATGAGAACCTTATGGTTTCTTGGCACAAATTAGCAGATATCAGCACCCATACAAACTCACAGACACATAAACATTGCCAAAGTGGTGAACTTAACCCCTTAAGGACTGAGCCAAATGTACACGTTGTGAACAAAACAAAATGTAAACAAAACCTGGCATTTGCGCTACATGTCTGTCCAACCGTAATTCACCTCTTTCATATTAAATGCACCCACCCTTATTATATATCATTTTATTCAGGGGAAACAGGGCTTTCATTTAATATCAAACATTTAGCTATGAAACATAATTTAATATGAAAAAAGAATTTGGGAGAAAATAAGAATTTTTTTAGTTCTACATGACATTTTAACTGTCAATGTCATAATACTGTTTGCTTTTACTGCAATAAAATACACATATTTGTATTCAGTAAAGTCTCACGTGTAAAACAGTACCCCCTATGTACAGGTTTTATGGCATTTTGGGAAGTTACAGGGTCAAATAAAGCACGTTACATTTGAAAATGAAATTCGCCAGATTGGTTACGTTGCCTTTGGGACTGTATAGTAGCCCAGGAATAAAATTTACACCCATAATGGCATACCATTTGCAATAGTAGACAACCCAAGGTATTGCAAATGGGGTATGTCCAGTCTTTTTTAGTATCCATTTGGTCACAAACACCGGCCAA